ACCTGGTCCAGTGTAATATGTCCCTGCTCATGGCAGGGCGGTTGGAACCAGATGATCTTTAAGGTCCCTTCCAACCCTTACCATTCAAGACCAGGTTGGACAGGGCTCTGAGCAACCTGATCTAGTTAGCGGTGTCCCTGCTCGCTGCAGGGGGGTTGGACTAGATGACCTCTAGGGTTCCCTTTCGACCCAAAACTTTCTATGATTCTATGAATAATTAGCTGTTACAATTCTAACGAGTATGCAGGAGGGCCAAGATGCCTCCTGACAGTATGCTGTGTATTTCCCTCCTCCCCTCCTAGCTGGCTCTCTTTCCTGCTGGCGAAGACACAGAGGGTGCACCTCAAACGAGAGGAAGCTCTTCTGTGGCCTTAGTTCCCCCAGCGACCAGCGGTCCCACAGCCCTCCCAGCAGACAGAGCTCCGGATGCTCCCTGGCAATTACACCCGCGGACTTGCTCAGAACGGTGCCCCCGTGCTGCCCCCGCCCCCCCAGACACCCCAGTGCCTGGCACTGCCGTGCAGGGGACGCTCCCCGATCCCCCTTCCACAGGCACGTGCCAAGCCTGGAGGCAGACTCTGTTGGATCGCTTATTTCAGTTCACATCATACTATGGTAAAATAATGGCACTGTACGTCAGAAGCGTGCAACTGAGCCAGACGACAAAGCCGGCCTTCTTAAAGAACAATTTAACATTTCTGGCAAGGGGCAAGGTGAGGAACGTCAGCAGAGACCTTGTGCACCTCCTCGCCGACTTACACCCACTTTGCAACTTCTTCGCAAATTTGGGGGGGGAGAGAGGAGAAATCGGTGACGGATTAGGCAAGAAGAAGTTTCAAAGAGATGCTATTTTCAGAAAAGTACTCTGATACTCACTGCTCCTCTCCAAACAGATTTTGCCAAGGCTGCCAGACTTGGTATTTATAGACCACGAGGAAATCAAGCACTTAACAACACACAGCACTACGCTCAAAGAACAGAGGAAATCATTTGCTGCGAACAACTTTCTGCGCTCAGCAAAGTTTTTGTAAGGCTGAAGAAAGGAAAAAGCCTCTGTGAAATTCAAGTACTACAGGAGGTACGAAAGCAAACGTTTCCCCAAGCTGCAGAGACCACAAGCAGCCAAGCAAGCCTGTTATTTCCAAAGTTGAAGACATCTAATCCAGAAGTGAAGAAATATCAAGACCATGTCACTGAAGTTTGAAAGCAAAGGGAGAGAGAACCATTTCAGCTCTTCTGGGCGTCGGCTCAGAGGTTTTCACTTAAAAGAAAGGCCTGTGTGTACTTTTCAACCATATGACGCTTTTAAAAACGTGTATTAGAAACAATCAGGCAAATTTCTAAAAACCCCCCACTACTATCCTGACCTTGCCTGTCCCAAAGAACTTCACGAGTGCATTCCCAACTAGGGAGTGCTGGGAGAGCTTCACACCACCAACGCCCCGCTGGGATGGGAAAGCGGATTCCACCTTCAGCAGCATTTCCAAAATATTGTACCACGCACACACCAGCAACAACACCAAAGTCTTGTGCCAATCGTTTCAAAGAGCAAAACGTTGAGAGGTCACGGTTATTCCTCCCAGCAGTTCACGACCACGGTGCTACCCGGCCTTCACCAGCCTCCAGCACGAGCCGGGCCGCATCCTGCTCCTCCTAAGCCTTCGTTTACAGCCCAAAACCCTGCTCAGCCCACCACTGAGCCTTGCTATCTGCTGACACCTCCCCAGCGACAGCCTCGGTCACCTTCCTCTGCACCCCACCATCAATCCAGCCCCCTTTTCATCCGCTCCTTCTAAAACCAGAAGCATCCCGAGACACTTTTCACCAAAACACAGACAGCACGGTGTGAAAGCAGCCCCAATTCTGATCCGGGCTTCTGAATAATCCAGAAACACCGCAACCACCGACAGCGACGCAGACAGCAGGCCCCAAGGCTCGGCACGGCCGTGCGGGACAG